CCAAATGCTGTGTGTCGCAGCATGCAGGACCACTCAGAGGGCCGGCCGATGAAGGTCAGAGAACACAAGAAACACAGAGTCAAGGAGAAGAGCAGCAGGAAGCTCAGCTCAGAGTTGTTGGCCCTAACAATAGGAGTTTTCCTGTATTTGAAGAAAATGAATGCCACAACAGCAGTGATGCATGTTCCCAGCAAGGACGCTGCAGTGAGCAGTGCTCCCATTATCTCTTCATATGATAGAAACTCTGCCTCCTTCTTTACACAGGCATCTCTTCTCTCATTTGACCAGAACTCAGGGTGGCATCTCACACAGGTGATAGAATCTGGAAAGTGATTTTACAGCAGGTGTTAGACTTGCTCAGTAGCCTACATTTGTTGTTCTTGTCTCTATATTCCTTATTTTCTAGACATGCAAGACATACACCACATAATTACTGTATCATAAATGGATAGTCATATGACAGTTTTATTTTCATTTTACTTGATTTGTTTTATTTTTTAATAATTAGGCATAGTCATTTTTTTATTTCAACGTTTGAGTCCAATTGCACACACAATTTCATTCACTCATTAATTGCTGTTTTAGAAAGAGAGATCTCAAAACCTCAGCAGATGAGACCATTTCTGCCTGCTCACTATGAGGAGGTGTAAAAAACACTAAAGGGTTTTTGCTAATTTGAGTGAGTTGACCTTAAATGACCTTTTTCAAATGTAAATTAATATATATTTATTTTCCAGTAACAAAATAATACAACACCTGTAATGTTGCTTATCTCTCCCTCTGCACATGTTAAACAGTCATAGCAGCAGACAGGCTTTCCTTTCTGGAGAACCTTGCGAGTTCCTGGATGACACTTCTCACTGCAAACTGACACAGGCACCTGTAAAAACAAAACGATTATGAGAAAAATTGTGGGCATTCACTTTGACAAGGTGTGTCTTTGTTATGTTCTGTTGTGCATTTTGATACATCATAAACAAACGTCATGATACACCAACTAGCACCATATTCAATTTTTTAATATTAAAATAGACTGTATGAACATTTCAGTAGCTTACCTGTTGTGAGTTGTTTGCCCAAATTAAAGACTTATTTTGTAGATTCAGCTGTTTGTCTGCAGGTAAAGATGCATCATAAAAACCAACTGTGACAAAGTCCACAATGCCATTTTCTGTTGGCTGCCAGTTTATAATTTCATACTTTGCTGCTGGGTCTCCATTCTCATTAAAGTAAACTTCCTCTCCTTCCTTTGTTTTGAAATGAATCCTTTTTATGTGTTGTAAAATCTAAAAAGATATGAATCAATGTAGATCATTACCTGACAAACATCTTGTAGGCCCAATGGCAATACAGTACAGAAGACTGATAAATTATTTATGAACTCACCGTATATGGATCAAGCGGCACCTCGCTGTAACATGTTTTATTACAGCTGAGTATACTATGTAGTGCGTGGGCCACAGCATACACTCCTTTATAGACATTGTTAAAGATAGGCATGAGCGACATATCAGTGAAGCTGTTCTGCACTCCAGTCAGATCCTCATGTCCAGTACATTCTCTCTGATTCTCTGCTGATGACTTTGACTGCTTGAACTTACAGCTGAATAATGTCTCCCAAAACTCTGTAAACACTTCATTACCAGATGAATTGAGTGGCTTTACATCCAACATGAACTCTCTCATGCCACTGACATGTGCTTTGGGGATGGACAGGCCTATGGCACCATCCAGAATGTGATGCTTATCTATGGCTGCAGTTTGGGGATCAAAGATCCAGCCTTCACTACCGACCCACTGGTACCCAGTCAAGTTGTGGTGAGACAACGGATGTATAAGTATAGGGATATCAGCGGGGGAGAGAAAAGCGACAATCACCTTGGAAGTGGAAGCCTTGATAATGTCGATTATCTTTTGTATTTTGTCTGGTGGATCTGTTCTAAACAAAGACACAGAGTACTCCAGACAGATGCCCAGCTGCTGGGCTGTTTCTGTAAATGTGGCCATGCCATTGTTCCCATAATCATCATTTGTTCTAATAGCTCCAACCCAAGTCCAACCAAAGTGCTTGACCAACTGTGCCAGGGCTCTGCTCTGGTAGTCGTCACTGGGTATTGTCCTGAGGAAGGATGGGTACTTGGTTTTATCACTGAGACAAGCACAAGTGGCAAAGTGACTGATCTAAAAAAAAATAAAGAAATAATTTTTAAAAAAAAAGATATTCCAAGATAAATATTTGAAATACTAAACATTTACATTTACACAACACACTATAATGTGGTTAAATTTTATAATAATAATCATCACTGATATATTTTTTGTTATTGTTTAAAAAATTTAAGTTAGTAGTTACTATAATGTTAACAAACAATGAAAGGATAAATAATAATGTTGGCTTTGTATTAGTGATCGCATAATTTGTTACTTTAACCATTTTCTTGCACATATTGTTCTTTCTTGCCTCTTTGAAAATGATTATCAAGGTATTTGCAAACCTTTAAGTGACTAAAAAAAAAAAAAACAGACCAGACATTTGTAACACCTTTTTAATGGTTAATAATACTTTTGTAAACCATTTATAAACATTCTGTGGTTGTCCAGTATTATCCATTTATTAATGTATCATAATCGCAAAGTCTCAGATTTATAATAAGCATCCTAATGAGATAGTTTACAGACCAATCAATAGGCAATGTGTTACAACTACCTGTTCAATCAGTCTTATGTTTTTTCAAACCATTCTGAAGGGTATACAGGTTTACCTTCACATATGGTGTATGAAATGTTATGATGTGTGGAACAATAAACTGTTAAACACAGATAAAAGCATTATCAAAAATGAGTAAGCAACATTCAATTATCATTTCATTGTTTGGTAACATTAAAATTATTATTACTTAAAATGTCTTTTTTTTGTTTCTTTTTAATGACGGTTCTTATAAAGAGTTGCCTACAATTGTTTTAAACCTCCTTTTGTTTTGACCACCTGGAAAAATTAAACAATAATAATTGTTTTCACTAGTACATTTTCATTTTGAATGATCTTACCCACCATTGGCATATGAAAGGGTCCGATTATAGTGGCTATAGCCATGGAAGGAGAGGAGGAGGTCTCTCCAATAATGGCCTGCACTTGGGCTGGTCTGGTACATGGTTCCTGGGAGGGTGCAGATAATTCCTCATTACCATTAGCCAAAGCCAGTGTAACCCTCACACCTCTGGCAATGGAGCGACAGGCATCATATATCTTATAGCCCAAAGAGATGCCAGGCAGCAGGTCTGTCCTGTTATTAATCTCCTCAATTGCAAAGCGCATAGCCTGGGCATACTTGAAACCTCTGAAATGCAAACTAGATATCAGCAGATATAAATATTAGAACTGAAAACAATTTATCCATGGAATTGAAAAAGTATCACAGGAAATGAAAGCATTTGATGGTATTAAGACACACAAGACAGCATATCCCATATTTTATACTGACTTTGATGCCCTTCCCTGTACCTGTTTTGCATCTGTACCCACTTTCACTGAGATAGTTGCAATCTAAATAGATTTTCTGACCGATTTACCTGGTGCATTGCAGTGGCAGTGGCTTGTGCATGTAGTTGTCCTGTCTGTTTTTCCAGCTGCTGTGGAAAGAGAAGATTCCCCCCAACATAATATCTCCATCCTTTGATAGCTGGGGCTTCTCGGGATCCCCTCTTCGCCTGCACACCAGCTCCTCAGCCTGAGAGACAAAGGCCACTACCAACAGCTGTAAGAGTGTCCAACCCTTTTCTGGCCACCTCTGCATTAACATCATACTGTCTCTGACAGCTTAACCACTGGGTTAGGATCACACGTAAATGCAAATTAGAAGCTTGCACTGGTATTTATACATTTGGGAGCAGCATCAAAAAATATAATAGAACAGTGATGTTTTTTCTCTGTGGACCTACAAGGTGAGGCAACAGGAAGAAGGTGTCCAAACAGAGGAGTTGTCTGCCTTATCCTTTGCTGAATATCTTAAAGATATATTATACAGGATTATCCTACAAAACAAAAAGAGGACATACAAAAGTAATTCTTCATCACAGTCACCACTTAGGATCCAATTATAATTGTGTGGCAGTGTATTTATTGGCAGAGACGCTGCCATCTACCTGCATTTTCTTATTTTCTTCTTATTTTACTAGGTCTGGGACATTCCTGGGCACAGCACGCAGGTGAGGTTGGGACTTTAAAAAAAAGGTAGCGACCAGGTGCCACACTGCACAGTGCCAAAAAAATGCAAATACAGCAAGGCGAAAAGTTGGTGATTCAATATCACTATCACCAGCAAAAGGGTTTACAAATAGTAGCTGACAATTCATGCTTAATACCTTGAAATTCATATATTATCAGATACGAATATTCACTTATGCCAGACAAAAGGTTTCCTTTTTTAAAATAATAATAATAATGGCACAATTAAGTCTCAAATTTAAAATTGCAATTTTGTAATTCACAAATTGGAAAATAATGCAGGATGAAGGTGATGTAAGGTTTAGAAAATAAGACTTATTAGACATTGAAATGCCCCACAACAGTAATGTCTTATTAACAATGCATGAACTGATATTTTTTTGTTTTGTTTTGTGACCACTTGGGGGCAGATAAACAAGCTTTACATATAACATTTACCTTATAACATTGATATGGCTACCATATAAGCAATCATATATGCTATCTTATGCTCGTTTGAGGTCCTCCTGTTTCTGCTCTTTGTAGACAACGTTGTTCTATTAGCTTCATAATACCGTGACCTCCAACATGCGCTCGGGAGATTTGCAGTGAGAAGCGATTGTAATAACAGTCACCATCTCTAGGTGTGAGGCCATGGTTTGCTGCTGAAGAATGCTGGATTACTCCATCTGGATTGGAATTGAGTTATGGCCTCACGTGAAGGACTACTTGGGGTCTTGTTCACAAGTGAAGGTAAAATGGAGCATGGTATTGACAGGTGGATTGGTCCAGCATGATAGGGACATTAAAATGTTGTGGTAAAGAGGGTGCTGAGCCTTTTGATTTTGCAATCAATCTACATTTCAACCCTTACTGTTGGTCATGAGCTTTGGGTAGTGAATGTGGATACAAGCTCACTCTTAAGGATTGGGTGAAGAACTCAGACATCCATCGGGAGCTAAGAGAAAGGCAATGTTTCTTAGTGACAAAAGGGGCCAGTTGAGGTGGTTTGAGATCTGATCAAGATGCCTCTCGACACCTTTCTTTGTAGCTGGGTGGGTGCCAGGTCCTGTAATCCTTGAGTGCACCCAGCTGCCACGACAATGAACAAAGAAGCTTAGATTACAGCACACACAGAAGGAGCGTGACTTCAATCTCTGCTTAAGACACTTTTACTCTACTGTAGTTTTATAAAGCAAATTGTTGTTTGCTGCTACATTGATGCTCATTCAGAGCATCAATGTAGCAGCAAACAACAATTTGCATACAGCTCATTTAAAGTCTAAATGCAGTACAAAATACACTTACACACGCAAACACACACACACACACACACACACACACACACACCATATATCAAACCATAACAGTTTATATAATTGTTGATCAAGTTGTATTTAAAGCTGTTATCACTAATTTTGATGTCAAAATTTTAGTGGCATTTTGGATAATGATATTTCAAATGTGACCTATTATGTTTTTTGGGGTTTCCTCTTCATTAGTGTGTTATATAGCATTTTTCTGTCTCTATAAGGTCTGCTAAGTAAAAAAAAAAGGCTAAAGGGAGCTCTGTCTCCCCACAGACACACATCATGTGACCTGCACTGGAACAGCTCGTTCTGAATTTCCCCCTTTTCCCGCTTTTACTTCCCTGATTAATTACCTAATAGCGATCATAGCACACAGTGCCTGCCTGAGCCGCACTCCCAAACATACCTACTCCGAGCAGAGGTGGAGGAGAGAGGCTGCAGAGTTTGAACCTGAGGAGACACCATGTCTAGGAGACGCTGCTTTGTGACCAATAATTGACCTATGGCTAAGCCCCGCCCTCCATTGCAATGAGCCAATCACAGTGCATATAGCCATTCCCATACACTCGGGGTACGTCCCAAGTCTCTTATTTTATACTGCTAACTCCTAACTCCTTACTTGAACCGGAAGTTGTTCGAGCTCCGCCATCTTTAAGGCCGTCTCATGTCTCTTATTCCTGCCAGTAAGGAGTTAGGCGTTAGGAGGGATCTGTTAGGTGCGATGAGTAAGGTAACACGAGAGGTTCCTAACAGGAAGTCTTTTTCAGCTTGAGGCCATGACGTATAAATACCTGCCCCCTTCGTCTGTCTCATTTGTGTCTCATCTCACGACGGCACCTATGGGTGGGTGCCGTCGTCACCAGAATAGGACGTCGCTTTACGTGATGCTTCAGAGTAAGGCCGTCTCATGTCTCTTATCAGCAATCCTCGCTCCTCACTCCTAACTCCTGACTCCTTAAATGTTTTCCTAAGTGGGAGGGACTAAACAGTTAGGTAAGGTGGCTAGGTTAGGTGGTTAGCAGTAATTTTAAGGGACTTGGGACGTACCCTCGGACATTCTCTGCCTGGACGTTCACTGAAATGTATGGAAGCCCATTTCCGCCACTTGATGGAAAAAAATAAGATCTAAGTCAAAATTATGAGATACTAAGTCAAAATAATGAGATACTAGGTCAAAATTATGACTTACTAAGTCAAAATAATGAGATACTAAGTCAAAAT